AAGTTGTACTACACGTACCTAAAATAACAAGTTATAATATGAATTTAATTTACCCTTGATAATTCTGCTTTTGTCTATTTGCATTTAGTCTTAACTAGTGAAAACTCAGTTTAAGTGTAATATTCAAAACAATGGATTCTACAGTTTTTATCTGAATTATCTTTATGTAATAGATTAAGCGAAAGTGGCGTAGTTACTCTTCAAATTGGCTCGGTAACAACTTCCGTTTTCTGTCACGTGGGGGATTTTGGATGTGGAGATGGAGCTTGGACCCTTGTTATGAAGATTGATGGCAGCAAGGTATCCCTTTATTTGAATACTCGATCCATTTGTCTCACTACTAATGACGACACTACTAAAACTTTTAGAAATCGATTGATCTGAGATCTGTGTTATGATCAATACATCTTGATAACCTTGGGATAAAATTTTCATGTTCATAATTTGACCTCCGTTTTAACTTCAGCTAATCTCAGCTAGAATAGTTATTGTTCTTGATTGAGATAACATCTGCTCACAATTTCTTTGGAGCTGGTTGCTCGTTGGGATTGAATGATTCACTTGTTTTTCTCATTAATTCATCAATATATATATATATATTTCCCTCGTATACAGAATTTGTTTAATTGAAATTAGCCTGTCTCCGTAATTGGATCCTCCTTTGTGATCCGCTAAGTTTACTTCGGTCGTGTATCTTTAATGTTTAGCTGGGCTTCATATAGGGTTATAGGCTTCCCTTACCCTGTCACCTTGAAAAGTTTAATTTCCCGGGAGACCACGTCTCCGATCATGTAAATCACATCTTTGATTTCCATGTTGCCAGCATGGTTGTCCTGATAGTGTAGTGGTCATCACACCTGACTAGTAACAGGAGGTAAGTGGGTTCAAATCCCGCTCAGGGCAAAGTTTCTTTTCAACCATTTATTCTATTTAAGTATGATTACTTAGGGGGTCAGGGTTTCCCTCGTATACATAATTTATATATATATATATATTTTTTTTTTTTTGTCTTCTACCGATCAGTTAACTTTTCATTACGACTCCAATTATTGGAGCAACAAGGAAGAGTATAATCTCCCTGGAGGAGTGACTGGGTTTGACTCACTGGAAACCAAATTACCGACCTACTGGAACATATCATTCTCCAAGATCTGTCTCGGTATGAAGATTAACGAAGAACTCAGGTTCATTGTTATCGACAAGATCGCCGATTCCCTCTACGCACTGATCGCTGACGGGCAATACCGTTCCACCAATTTGGGTCCATACAGGTGGAAGTCCCTGATTGGCTCACAGGGTTACTTACAGCAACACTGTAACAAAGAAGGGTTCAACCTTGTACCGGAGAGTGCATACTGGAAGAATAAAGCTTGTAAAGCAAGAATCGGTATTTTCGCCAACAACCAAAACAATTGCGGTGATGTTGACTCTAGAATCGGGTTTGGAACAGGAGGGGGTGGAGATAGAAACAACACGTGTGGAAACGATGGTGGCCCGAGACACATTAAAGCCATGGGATACATCTTGGTTCAGTGAAGAGAAAGAAGAGAACATTAACACATTCTTCAACGACAACGA